CATGGGACGGGGATCGAAACGTCGAGCAGCCGAATACAATCGAGAATGTCGCGGGCAATATGCACGAACGCTTTGGGAACGCAGACATGGCACGCGCATTCGGTTGTTCAAGGAAGCGTCACGGGTCAGCTTCAAGAACACCGAGTGCTCGGGCGTGGAAGGATAACGCGTGGATCGTCGCGCGAAGAGCTAGAATATGTAGAAAAGCCCAGGGGGCAATATACGTGTCGCAGTAGTCTGGTATACATTCCGCTTCCAGTCAACGCGTCAATAATCCGTCCGATTCAAAATGCCGGTTCTAAAAACACGCCACTCGCACTAGAATCGGCGCCGTCTCTTGATCGGCCAACGCACTTGGTATTTGTATGCCCCGTGAAATAAAAGCCCCTGCGGCAGAGGGACCCAATCCGATGCCGATTTCAAACCAAGGCCAGAGCCAATCAAGACGCATCTGGCTTTGGCCGCTTGGGATTGGCTGTCTTTTTCGCATAAAGTAGCTTTGGATTGGTCAAAATTGATCGCCGCGGCCGCTTCTGCGCTGCGAAATGTGCCGTGTAATTCGTAGTAACCAAAGCCGGCGCGCTCTGATTGGCTGGCTTCCTCGGACATTCAAGGCAGTCAGCTACCGAGGGCTCATTTTTACGTGTGACTGGAAGGATGAACAAGCAGCCGAGCGTGAGCAGCATGGTGCAGCCGGCGCTCTCCCGGGGCGCGTCCGTCGAGATGGACGCGGCCGCGCTCAACAAGGGCAACGTCATCGTCCTCGAGGCGCTGCGGTCACAGGAGTCGTGGGTCTCGGACTCGGAGCGCAAGCGCTGCCACATTTGCAATAAGAATTTCAGCGCCTTTCGACGAAAGCACCACTGCCGCGTCGTACGCTCACTATGCTCGATCGTCCTATATGTCTCATGCCTATGCATAGTGTGGTGAGATCGTCTGCAGCCCGTGCGCGCTCAAGAAGCAGCTCATGCTCCCCAGCGTCGGCCAAACCGAAGCGCGCGTCTGTGTACAATGTGTTATGGGGTTCGCCAACCCGCCTGGCGAAGGCTCGGGCGTCGCGCCGTCGCCGGCCACCGTCGCGTCGGCGGCGCCGCATGGCTTTAGCAGCTCGGTCTCGGAGCACTCGCACTCGCGCGGCCACTACCACAGCACCAGCGGCCGGACGCATTCGATGAACTCGCCGCTCACACCCATCGAGTTGCCGCCGGCGAGCACGCCGTGCGACTACCCCCTTGACTTTGACTGGGAGCACGCGTGGCCCAAGCCGCCGGCCTGCGCCGACGAGGCCGACCGCCTCGAGGACCTCTACAGCTACGACATTCTTGACACGCCGCAAGACGATGTGTTTGACATCATCTGCGACCTCGCGTCCAAAGCGCTCAATTGCTCGATCGCTGGCGTGAGCTTTATCGACGAGACGCGGCAGTGGTTCAAGTCGAGCGTCGGCCTCATCCAGGAAGAGATTCCGCGCAACGTGTCCTTTTGCGCGCACGTCGTCTATACGAAGGAGCCGATCCTTGTCGCCGACACGTCCCTCGACAATCGCTTTGACCGGAACCCGCTTGTCACGGGCCGCGCCGGCATTCGGTTCTACGCCGCGGCGCCCATCATTTGTCCTGGCACGGGCCGCGTGCTCGGCACGGTGTTCGTCTTTGACGTCGCCGCACGGACGCGCGACCCAGGTGACGTTGGCACCCTCGAAAAGCTCGCGCAGGTTGTCATGAAGAACCTCGAGGACCGCAAGCTCGCGGCGGGTTCTGCGGAGCGCCCGTCCGGTGCCACCGACCGGTCGTCGGTGTTGACCAACAACTCGTCGGTTGCTGTGTCCGAGCCGACACCATCCGAGGCAGCTCCGGTGGCGCCAGTGCCTGCCGTGGCCGCCGAGGTGCCGCCGCCGGCGCCGGAAGCCGCGCTTGTGGCGACCGCGCCCGAGACCGCTGTCGCCGCCTCGGCGACCGGCGCGCCCGCACCCAAGATGGAGACGATGCTCATGGATCTCCTGAGCCGCACGACGGTGACGCAGCAGCAGCTCGCGAGTCAGCAAGGCAATATGTTTGCCACTATCAACTCGCACGGTAGTCAGATCAATAAATTGGCGGACGCAGTCGCCCGCATGGAGGCCAAGCTCATGGCCGACGAATCCAAGAAGGCATGATCCCCATTATTACCCGCTGCATGTACTAGAGTATATACCACCTATAACAATATTAGCCCTACGTCGCCTCCACGTCCTTTGTCCCTGGCTACCACAGTATCCCACACCAAAGAGCAAACGGCAACCTCAAGAGGTGGCCAGCCCCACCTACCGTAGGTGCGACTGCTTGCGAAACGTCGTCGGTAGCTTGCAGAAGAAGCAAACTCGAAGAGCTTACTCTAGGGGTCTGGTTCTGTCCGATCAGACCTGGTCGTCGTATACGCACGCTTCGTCACTAGTCATCGCGCCTCGTCTGCGTGGGATTTCAAGCAGCGTGAAAATCTGGTGAAAAATCGACGCACGTTGGTTGCCATTTTGGCGCCGGCAGCAGCGACCGAGTTGAAGTCGGTTGCCAGTCACTGGATACTGGTTGCTATAATACAGTAATATACCGTACTAGTGGAGAAGGCTCAAGCCGCTCGTGTGCAAGTAGGTGCGCGCGAGTACCTTGGGCTGAGTCTTGGGCTGTTGAAGGTCGGTGGCACGTGTACGATTGTCGAAGGTGCTCGGCAAGCAGCCATTATGTGCACCAAGACGCACGCACGTGGGTGGGCCAGCTACGCTCGCCTCGAAACGCGTGAAGTACGAGCGGCTGGGTCGCAATCTCATACCGACGGTGATGAGAGCTTGTGCCACGATGTCGATCCCCACAGAAGGTGGCGTTTGAGTGGTGGAGGAGACGTCGCTGCAAACGCTTAAGTCCAGCGAGCCGTCGCACCACGTGGCAGCAGAGACCTACGGTTATAGGAGCGTGCAGCGACAACCCAAGCGGCCATTGTGTGGAGCGCTTTGTGGGCAGCACCGTCACTGGATCGTCGCACTCGTTTGGTCCATGAATTTCGCGCCAGTGCGCATGTGGCAAATGCAAGTAGCCGCGAGGGATTTGGGTGAGAAACGCCTGGCCTTCTTCAACGACTGGGGCCAGACGGGCGCACACACCTGAGCGATGACGTTTCCTTCGAATCGCGTCCTAACGCCACGCCGATCGCTTCTACCTGCACGCTGTCGCGAGCACGACACGAGTGCTGGACGATCGCGAGTTTGCCGATTGGCGGTTACCTGCGAATCTTCGATGTGTGGGATCCGCGACCGGAGGGCGTGCCCCGTCACGCCTTCGAACTTCGATCTGGTTACACACAAGAAGGCAACTGCGCGATGATGATCTCGATGGGGCGCGGTGCCACTGGCGCTTCGTCCAACGGTGCAACGAAGAAGCACTTACCAAGTTCTTCCGCATGCACGAGATCCGCTTCGAAGACATTCTGCCGCCGTCGCAATGGGTCTCCAAGAAGGAGCGGTACCGCTGTGACGCGTGCTCGAAGAAGTTTCACAACCTCTTTCGCCGCCGCCACCACTGCCGTCTCGTACGTCGGCGCCCGTGTGTGCTGATCTCTTACGTTGACCAACTGTAGTGCGGGCAGCTCTTTTGCAAAGAATGCATCTTGCACAAGCTCGTCCACTTGGCGCCCGAGCGTCACATGCCCATCAAGACGTGCGCCACATGCGCGTTCGAAGGCCCACCCGAGCGCAAAGCCGCCGTCTCCTCGCATCTCTCGTACACGATCGACTCGGACCGCTTCACGACCGACCCGGTGGCCGACGACCTCTTACTATTTTCGCCCCTCGTCGAGGATGGCGTGCCCAGCATCGAGTACTCGCTGCATCGCGACCGAGGCGCTTCGCTCGACGAGGTGGACTTGGACGCCGCAGCTGAGAAAGCCAACGAAGCCGATAGACTCGAAGCGCTCCAGGCGTATAACGTGCTCTACTCGCCGCCGGACGAGACGTTCAACATCTGGTGCGACCTTGCGGCAAACACGATGGAGTGTCCGATCGCGGTCGTGAGCTTTATGGACAAGGACCGGCAGTGGTTCAAGGCCAAGCTCGGGCTCGCCAAGACGTCGGTGCCACGAAAACTCGCGTTCTGCGAGGCGGTGGTCGCCTCGGGGCGGCCACAAGCCGTGCTCAACGCCACGCTGGACTCGCGTTTTGAGCGCAGCCCGCTCGTCGAGAGCGGCGTTCGCTTCTACGCCGGCGCGCCATTGACGACACCGGGCGGCCACGTAATCGGGACGCTCGCCGTGTTTGATACAGCGCCGCGCACTGACTGCGAAAAGCTCGGGACGCTCGAGAGCCTCGCACAAAGCATCATGAAGGACATGGAGGAGCGCCGGGTCTTCGAGTTGCGCTACCGGCATCGGCGGCGACGCCAAGCCGCGTCGTTTGACGACCGGTCGCTGATCAAGTCGATTGAGCCAGCGCCGACGGTGCGGCTCACGCCCGACTTTGGCCCGGCGCCATCGCTCGGCCCGATGCCGCCGATGCTCGACCTGCTGCCGCCCGTGACGTCCTCGCCCATCGAACCGACAAGCAAAGGGGTCGAGGGCGACGGAAAGATGCAAGACATGCTGCTCGATCTACTTTGCAAGACGACCGAGACGCAGCAACATTTGGCGTCGCAACAAGGCTCGATGTTTGCGACGCTTGGTCAACACACGGAGCAGATTGACCGGCTCGCACAGGCCGTGAAGCGCATGGAGTCGAAGCTCTGCCCGCTCTAAGCGCCTCCAAATGACGTCGCTCGTCTGTCGAGCGCGTCAGTATGTTAATATAATAGTTGATGTGTCGTAAGCAACGCCATGGAGATCGCTGTGGTCAGCAGACCACTCGGATCACGCCACCGTCCGTCACAAGCCTTGCATTGTAGCAACACTGTGGATACGATTGCCACTGCCACGACCCAAAGGCACTTCCACGGTCGACAAGCCTTCGCCGTGTCGCGGGTCGACGGCGTCGAAGCGTCATCGCTGTGCAAGGTGCACTGTCGGATCTCGAGTACCAGCTGGTGCCACGCGTGCAGCTTCTTTGAAACGTCCATGTCAAATCCGAATTCGACATGACTTTAATTCGGACATGTCCGAATGTCACCGTCGATTTCGGACTTTGGTCGGTTCGAATCGGTGATTTGACACGCATGGCCCTTATTTAAGGCGACCCGCTTTGGCAAAGACAGCCTTGTGACACACCGCGTTCGGCACGACGACGAGACGACGACAGCAATAGAGCGCAGTGCTATGGACGGAGCCAAGAGTCCGTTCGCGCGCAAGAGTCCCAAGACGCCGTCCGGGCGCTTCGACTTTGGCCAGCCCCCGCTCGCGATCTCGCAGATCATCCACCCCGACGACTGGGTCGACCATGGCCATCGCCGCAAGTGCTATGTGTGCGCCAAGGTCTTCAACAAACTCCTGCGCCGCAAGCACAACTGCCGCATGGTATCATTTCTCTCCAAAGCTGTAGCGACTCTTGATGGCTCAGGACGCGACCCTAGTGCGGCGAAGTCATTTGTAGCAAGTGCCGTGTGCCCCAGCGCCTCGTGCTCGCGCGGCACGAGCAGCCGACGGTCGCACAGGTCTGCCTCGTCTGCGTCCAGAAGATACCTGTGATGCACGCCCCGGTGGACGCGCGCCGCCCGGACCGGCGCAGCTCGGGCCACACAGTCATCTCGGATGTGCACGACCCGTCGCATTCGTCGTCGTCGTTCTTTGTCTTCCACGATGACCACATGAGCGTAACGAGCCAAAGCAACATCAGCAGCGCGTATAGCAACGAGACGGAGATGCAACTTTGCAGCTACCGCCTCGACTATGACTGGGAGTACCCGTGGCCCAAGCCGCCGCCCGTGCCATCGCCGGTCGAGAAGCAGACGACCGAGATGCTCCAGCTGCTCGACATACTCGACTCGCCGCGCGAAGATGCGTTTGACCGCATCGCTTCGAGTGCGCGCAAGTCGGTGTCGTCGCACTGCAAGGCTGCGTGTGTTGCGTTTATGGACTACAAGCACCAGCGCCAGTGGTTCAAAGCGTATCTGGGCCTCGGCCAAGCCGGTACACAGACCATCTCTACGCTCAAAACCCCAACTCAAATCGTATGTAGAAATGCCCGCCATGGTGTCGTTCTGCGCCCACACCATGTACCTCTTGGACGTGACGGTCGTCCTCGACACGGCGAGAGATGAGCGCTTCTGCAAGAACCCCCTCGTGACCACCGAGAGCACGAGCTTTCGCTTCTACGCGGGCGCACCGATCATAGTCGAAAACGTGTGCATCGGCACGGTGTTTGTCGTCGACTCGGAGCCGCGCTCAAGTCTGAATGACGTCGATACGCTCAAGCTCACCAAGCTCGCGCAGCTCACGTCACAGCTCCTTTTAGAGCGCAAGATGTTGCCTGCGCACTGCAGCATCAAGGGCGGCGTGCGGTCCATGAATCGGTCGTCGTCGGCGCCGTCGATGGACCAGATGACGCTCGACCGGCAGCAGGACGAGATCAAAGAGATGGCCAAGGTGCGGAAGCGATCGCTCGAGCCCGCGCCCATCTCACTACCGCCCCCCAGCACGCCCCCGAGTACGCCGTTAGCGGCAGCAGTCGTGCCCTCGACGGAAGGCGTCTCGCCGTCCATGGAAGCCATGCTGATGAATTTATTGAGCAAGACGACCGAGACGCAGCAGCAGATCGCGACGCAGCAAGGCACGCTCTTTGGAAAGCTCGAAGAACACAATACGCAAATCTCCAAGCTCGCAGAAGCGGTCGCGCGCATGGAAGCCAAGTTGTCGACCGAAGACGACTCGCCAACGGCGTAGGATCTGCGACAGTCGTGATAACCAAGTCGTCGTAACAGTAGTATGTGCACGTTTTCGCTTCACTTTTGCTTGAAGTCTCGTGCTGATACTCAGTACATGCAGTATGTCATTACATCGACACCGACGTACCGTAGCATGTTGGCTCGAACGCAACAACCGTGTCATCCGCTCGACGCTGACGAATCTTCCTGCTGCTGTGCTGACAATCACGGCAACGATTATCACGAGACTGCATGTGAACAACTCACTTCAACAACAGCTACAACCAATTGAGCTACAACGTACTATACAGGCCGAAAGGTGTGCCATCCACGCTTTATCAACAACCTATCGCGCGTGCGGTTCAAACCCTAGCCCCATCTCGAGCCCTAACCCGCCGGCACGACGACAAACCACAGAGCAACGCCAAGGATATCGGCAGTACACAGACTGTTTCATTCGTTTGTGCATAGTATCGTACAAACAACGTACGAAGAATTTGAGCACAACGGTTCCTTCCGAGGGCAATGATGTAGAGTAAGCTCTATAGTCTCTAGGTATACCAGGTCTTTGCAACGCCGTGATCACGCGAAACACGTTTATGGTCCTGGAATGTCCAGGGCAATAGTCCCGTACGACCGTCGGCAGCGGCTCCTGTGGGGGCACGGATGGCCGTCTGTCGCACCGCAACTTGGTGAGTCGTGCAACGCCGCCGGCCGTGTCGAGTCTTGTCGTGAACCCAGTTGGCTTCGATGGCAGCAAAAATGCCTTCGACATCGCCCAGCGTCCGAGATCGCTTCTCGCCGTGGTCGCGCGCCAGCGTAATTTGCCACTAGAGAGAAAGGCGCGATGCGGCATTGGTTGACAATGGCACTGGTCGCTGCACGTCAAAAACCCAATGACGTCGTCTGGGCGTGAACAGACGTGACACGGCAGACGCGACAAGCTGCTCCACAACGCGCGTTCCCAGACGTGTGGCTCCTTTGAGTTTCATTGATCAAGCTACGAAAAATCGACAAGATGAGCACGGGACTTCTAGTCGTTCGGAATATGGGCGACTCGGAGCCATCACGACACTGCCGAAGGCAATGTATGCGCGGCAGCGAAAACCGGTCCAGTCTGTCGTCTCGGCCATGCCTACCAAAGGTGTACGCTCTTCACAGTATAACATCGTGTATTGCGCAAGAAAGCTATCTCAAGCTCAAAAGTGTCGATCGATGGATCCCACAAACGAGCACTGAGATTTGGATACACGCATCTCAAAACCCTTGGCACCAAACTCAAAATACAACGTTTTGAGCTACCTCTCACACTTAATACCCATCCAATACATACCTTCCAGCGCGCCAGCCACTTGGCGTCCGCGACCAGCAATCAAACCAAGAGCAGCCAGTCGAAACGCATCCGTGGACTTGCACTGCCAGCAGTAGTATCACAAAACGGGAGAGGCAGTGGTCCCCAACCAAACGCCAAACTCCAAACTCAAAATCTGTTGTTTTGAGTGGCCTCCCATACTTGATAATGCTGGCGCGATAAGGACCAATCACAATTCTATCCCGCAGAAAGGCCAGCAAAGATGCCCGCGACGCCGCGCTTTGTCGTCCGACAAGACGACGCGTTCGTGTACGTCGACATTCACGTGCCGTACGTCCGCGTCTCGGAGCTCGAGTACACGATCGACGGCTGCAGCTTTCACTTTTACTGCAAACCGTACCTGCTCAACCTCACCTTTCCGCTCGAGGTGGTCGACGACGACCGCGCCAAGGCCGTGTACGACATCAACAAGGTATTCGCACCAAGCGACGTGAGTAGCGAGCCTTCACGGTGCTATAGGAAAATGGTACCATTTTCGTGCATTTGCCCAAGGCGACGCAGGGCGCGCACTTCCCGGACCTCGACCTGCTCACGACGCTTCTCCAGCAAAAAAAGTGGAAGCCCCAAGACAACGGTCTCCCTGATGCGTACAACATTGTCTACTTGAGTTGGTGTAGGTATACTGACAAGCAACATTGGGTTAGGTTGCCCAAACCGCCGTTGATTGAGGTCGTCGCGTCAACTTCGATGACATCGGAGATCGAGCCCGAAACGACAATGCCGGCGCCCGCACCGATCGCGACCGACGCGAGCTTGCTGTCGCTTGAGACCAAGGCGCCGCCGATCACATTGCACACTGGCCCGCCATCGTACGGGTTCAATAACCGGTTTACCGACTTTTTCAAGGTGTGGCATGGCGAAGTGTCGGAAATTCTCGCCTTGCCGCTGCCCGACACGACGCCCGCGACCGATCGCGCGGCGCTCCAAGCCGCCACGGAAGACAAGGACTTTGACGTCGAGCGCTACTTGATCGACTTTGGAGGCGCGGACGAGGATGAGTATTTCGCCGAGGCGCTGCGCTTCTCGCCGTTCTGGGCGTCGCTGCCAGTGACCAAGCCGCCGTCAACGTCGCTGATCCAAGACATGGATACTCTTTCGTTGGACCCGGTCTTTGAGTTTACGGAAGCCGAGCAAGAACTCTTGCGGCGCCTGCCGCACCGCGAACACCTACTCTCGCGCGACGAGCAGGCCGTGCTGCTTGGTGGTCTCTGCGACCTCCTTGCGGCGTATGCCTACGATGTGCGCTCGACGACAGGCGACGCGACGGTCGAGTCGGCGTGGACGATCATGATCAACAGCGCGACGCTGGCGTGGCTCAACCCGAGTGCCGACCTCGATGCCGTGGCTACGACGAGCCTCCGGCGCATGCTCACGTACCCGCTATTGCGCCAGCACACACTCGCGCTGCGCGTGCTGGACGACGTACACGACATTCTCGCCCGCGGCAAGCGCGTGGTCCTGCGCTGCTTGCTGCGAATTTTGGACGTTTTGGCCAAGTCGGACCAGCACTACCTGCTCAACACGCTCTTCCTTGACGACTACTGTGTCTGGATCCAGCGCCAAAGCGACGCGGCGCTCTTGGACCTCGCCCAACGCCACAAGGCCGCGACCAACAAGCTGCGCGCCGACAAGGACGCGTGCGGCTGGGCGCTCAAGCACATGGAAGCCATGCTCACGGCCGCCACGAGCGATGAGAGCAGCAGTGAGGACGACGACGAGAGCAGCAGTGACGACGAGAGTAGTGAAGACGAGGCGTCGTAAGCTGCGCGTTCCACAACTGATGTTTGCCTTGATGTAACGGTCTCTGTCTGCGCACCGTTACAAAATGCACACGTTGTCGTCGAAACCGTCAGTCTACCACGTCGTATCGACCCAATCGGCGTGGCCGAATCTCGCATCCTGTGCTGGGATTGGCTCAAAAGATGCCACTCGACGACACGACCCATTGCACATGGTCCAGGGTTGCCCGCGTCAACAAGCGATCCTAATTCGCCATCGGCGAGTGCTACGTCATCGTCCATGTTGCGGCTGCTGCGACAGAGATATCGCAAGCGTCCTTCCGTCCGACCGATCGTGTGGCGTTGCGCTGGTCCAGACGCAAAACCGTCGCAGCAAGTTCCCACGACCTTTTCCTACGAAAGAAAGCGACAACAAAGCATGTCGCCGACCAGCTCGATTTACGCCAGCATTACGATCTGTCCCGGTACCCACGTACGTGTATGTGGGCTTTTTAATGGGCTGCGCTGTCTGAGCTCGCTGTCTGGAGTGCGGTTTGGGCTCTTCTTCGCGACGTTTATCATGCCACTCTCTATTATTTTCTCTGGTGTGTCGCCGAGACGCGAAGCCGAGTTGTTGGAGACGCGGTCCGTACCGGTATGGGTGCCTCCCACGTCCTTTCTTTTCAGCGACGCGTCTGTGCGCCGGCACAAGAGACACGTCGCAACTGCATCCCATCTTTGGATCCAAACCGGCAAATCTGCACTCGCACCAATGTACGCGGCCCTGGACGAGACCCGGCGCCACCGCGCCGCGCTCAAAGATTATTTGCTCAGCCCGAGCCATACCCTCGTGCCCCACGCCAAGCATGCGACCGTCATTGGCGCGTGCTTTGTGTGTCTGCGCAAGTTTTACATTGTGCGCCCGAAACACCGCTGCCCGCTCGTACGCGCTGATTCTCGGGTGTTAATGCATTGAATGCGTCGCTGTCTAGTGCTGCGAAGTCGTGTGCAGTCGGTGCACGTGGTCCCTCGACGTGCTCGGGCGCGACCACCATTTGCACCAAGTCGTCGTCTGCGTGAGCTGCTACTTTGACAAGCGCATCCAAGACCTTGTGACCGAAGGCGACAGCGACGACGACGACGACGATCCTGGCGCCGCCTACCCCAACGATCGAGACGATGACGACGATACCTCCTCAAACGACGAAGAGTCGTACTCGGAGGACGTGTACCCATGGACACCGACAAGCGATCGCCGCATCTCGATGGACAACACCACCAATGCTGCTGCGGGCCATGCCAAAGTATCCGAGCTTGATCCGCTCCCTGAGACGCCGGCGCCAAGTCGCCCCAAGCCGCAACGCGCGTCGCGTCTCCGGCCGCGCCGGTATGCCTTTGTCAAGCGCGACGAGCTCGTCCCAAAGCGCGAGCTCATACCCAAGCGCGGTGCAACGCAGTGCGAGCGCTGCCACCGGTCGTTCAAGCTCCTCCACCGCAAGCACCACTGCCACACGGTACCAACCTCTCTCGTGTTGAGGCTTTTCGATGCGAACTGGAGTAGTGCGGCAATGTCTATTGCAGCCACTGTACGACGTATCAGTTTACGTCGGCTGCGAAAGGCCATGCACTCTGCCACGTGCGCGTCTGCTGGACGTGCGTTCACATTAGCATCGTTCAGAGCACGTTTCGAAGCTGTCGGCGCAAGCAGATGACGGTGACGGCGCTACTGCACGACCCGTCGTTCCATCCGGTCCAAACGCGGCAGTACGAAGGCCGCGATGTGCTCACAAGTGTCCTTCAACTCGAGGCGAGCGGGATCGTGCCGTATGATAGCCTCGTCTCGAGGGACTACCGGTCGCTTGTCAACAAGCACACGACGTGCTTTTCGTGTCGCTCGGCGTTTCTCTTTCTCTTGCGCAAGGATTATTGCCGACTGGTATGTACAATATTGTCCTGACGGTTTCCGAATGGCAATGTAAATGGTCTAGTGCGGCGAAGCGCACTGTTTGTCGTGTCTCAACGCGCTTTTGGCCGCGGGGAAAACACACTCGGACGAGCTCGAGCTCGTCAAAGTGTGCCAAGCGTGCCGACTGCAGCACTGCGAAGACGTCACGCGCCGTTTCTGCGGCATCGAAGCGTCGCCGTGACCGACATGTGTATGTTTGTATCGACATCATTTGTCGAGAACTTGTCGTTTGTCTCTGTGTATTGTGCTTGGTATTTGACATGGTGTCGTGTTGAAACTCAATCGAAGTTGCTCTTTTATCGTTGTTTGATATTGAGGTTCGTGGACACGAACTCGTTGTTGCAACGAGCACCTATCTCGGACAATATTGGCGCGTGACGGCGGACTCGAACCGCGTCAAGAAGGTCGACTGCAACAAAGGCAAGCCAGCAGCAGCGGGCTTCGAAGCACGACGCCAAGCAACGGGCACACGTTACCTGTCTTTGGGCCGGCCCAAAGCAGCCACTCGGCCGATCCACAGTGTGTTCATCTCCTCCTCATTTGCGATGGCCGAACGTCCGTCGCGCCGATGGTCGATCCTCAAGGACGACCTCCTGCATCCCCTGGGGCTCGTGCCTCTCCAAGCGCGCGCCAACTGCGCCGTGTGTCTCCGAACGTTTTCCTTCTTTCGCGCCAAGTACAACTGCTCGTTGGTACGTCGTTGCTAGTAGCTTCTCGTTTCAAAAGATGGCCGTCTAGTGCGGCCACGTCATTTGCCGCAGCTGCGTACTCCGGCTACCGGTACAAGACGACGAGAAGCAGCAGCGCGTCATGGCCTGTGAAGCGTGCCTCTTTCACGAAGACGAAACCACCCATCGACGCTGCCAAGCGTCGGCCTCGGACGTCCCGCTGCTGGACGAGGCACCGTCAACCACCGGATCGGTGTCGCTCCCGTCGTCGCCCCTCCCGCCCGCACTACGTGTATCTGCGCCCACACGCACCACGTTTATTTCGCACGGTGAGCTCGTGACGATATTGCCACCTCGCCGAAGCGCACTCTGCACACGCTGCCACCGGGTCTTTGGCGTCTTCCGTGTCCAATACACGTGCCGCACGGTATACCGTCCTTTCCCACTTTGCCGTTTTGTGACAGAAACGTCCTGTCTAGTGCGGCGATGCTTTTTGCGGTCATTGTACCCTTACAAAGCTGGCGCTGCGTCCGGACGGTCGCGCTTCGTACGACGTCGTGGTGTGCAAGACGTGCGTGCACATTAGCGAGGTCCATGGAGACTATGCACGCTGCAAAGCTCTGCAGCCCGAGGTCCTCGTCCGCCTGCATGCGCCAGCGGATGCACCGCTGCTCGCGCCAGACGATGTCGTCGCGGCTCTGCGTCTCGAATGCCTCGATGTCGTCGAACACGCTAGCTTGATCGAAAAGCAGCGCTGGGTGCCCACCAAGCAGCGGTCGACATGCTTCAAGTGCAATGCACGCGTGCCGTTTGTCATGTACAAGAGCCACTGCCCCCTCGTACGATGACGATGTGGACATATTGTCATGCGCTGTAACGACTCTTTCTAGTGCGGCGAGGCCTTCTGCGTCGTCTGCTTGCATGCGATCCTTGTCGCGCACGCACCAGGACGACCCGAAATGTACATTGCGCCCATCTGCCCGTCGTGCCACACGCGCCATTACGATCTTGTGAACCGCCGCTTTCTCGGCTCCCCAAGCGACGCCAACAGTCCGGGCACACCGCCCGTCTCGCCAAATGCGTCCGTGATGCTTCACTTGCTACAAACCTCGGCGTCGCCCTAAGCAAATTGTATATACTTCTTCAAACGAATCTATGATTCCAGGTTAGCGCATGATCCGGTCCGCAAGTGGTGCAGTGTGTCGAATACATGGTGGAACTAATAGCTTGGAGAGCCGCACGTGCACTGGAATCACCCTTCATGACGTGGCGGCGTGGTTGGCGTTGATGCGGGTGGGTTCTTCGTAGACCCAACCCTAGGGTAACGTAACACGTGTTGCGGAGATCCCAGCACGAGCTGCCCCCATCAGCACTCAGCGATATCGTAGCACTGTTCTAACTGCGTTCTCGTCGTCTCGTTGTCAGTAAAGGCGTCCTTTGCCTCGAGTTGTACCGTAGATTCTGGTGTGGCAGCCAATGATGACCGCGTACGAGCCGTTTGGTTGGCCGTCAAGCCGCTATGGGTGTCATGGTGTAATGCCCTGTTGTACCGTCCATGACTCCTCATCATGAGCGACAATGATAGGTGAGAGTAGATACAGGCATCATCATCGAACGCCGGCCGGGCCTCTTCTACAGCAACGTACGCACCATGTACTGCAAAAGACACTCAAGCTACGGTCACTGCGACAACGCACCGCGTCCGGTGCAGGCACACGGACGGGTCTGCTGCGGAATAGTGTCCCGTTGACTACAAGCCGAATAAAACGACAGAAGAGGCAACGTATATAAGGGCGGCGGATGGGCAGAAGGGATAAGAGACTCTAAGCTACACGGACACGGTTGTCGGAATATAAATAGCTCCTCACTCGGCTTCGCGCGCGTCCAGCTTGGCTTCCATGCGCTTGACGGCGTCCGCGAGCTTGTCGATCTGTGCTGTGTGCTGGCCCAATGTCTGGAACATGGCGCCTTGCTGCGTCGCGAGCTGCTGCTGCGTCTCGGTCGTGCGACAGAGTAGGTCCATGAGCATCGTTTCCATCTTGGGACCGGCCACAACTTGGCCGTCACCGCCGTTCTGCACCACGAGGTCCTGCGACTCTTGCACCGCCTTTGCAAAGCCGGCGGGGACAATGGCCGCGGCGTCCGACTCGGACACGACCACGGCCGTTGGCGCCGGCGGCAGACTCGACGAGAGCGGCGCGGCCACCGCATTCTTGCGGTCCTCCAAGTTCTTCATCGCAACGTTCGAGAGCTTCTCGAGTGTCGCCAGGTCGCACGTGTGACGCGGCTGGTTGTCAAACACAAAGACCGTACCGAGGATCTGGCCCGTCGGCGTGATGATCGGTGATCCTGCGTAGAAGCGGATGCTTGCGGCGCCCGTCACGAGCGGGTTCTTGGCAAACCGCTTGTCGTGGAGGGTATCCAAGACGACCATGGGCTCCTTGGAGATGATCGTGTGCGCGCAGAACGACACGTTGCGCGGAATCTCGGTTTGCGCGAGGCCCACCGACGCCTTGAACCACTGGCGGTCCTTGTCCATGAGCGAGACGACCGCGATCGGGCACTTGAGCGCGTTCGACGCGAGATCGCAGATGATGTCAAACACGTCTTCGGGCGGCGTGTCGAGGATGTCAAAGCTGCGGACGGCTGCGAGCCGCTCGTCTTCGCCTGTGAGCACCGGCGGTTTGGGCCACGGGTAGCCCCAGCTAAAGTCGAGCGGGTAGTTGTACTCGGCGCTGGGGTCGTACGCCGACCCGTAGCTGCGCTGCTCAACAAACGAGCCGGGCGGCGACGATCGGTATGTCGCGTCCGAGGTCTTGGCCATGCTCGGGCTCGCCTCGACGGTTTTCGCCGAGTAGCGCATGTCCGGTCCGTTGTCCACGCGCGCGTTGGGCGGCGCCTGCGGGTTGCCGCCACCGCCGGCTTGGTTGAGAATGCACGACATGCACACTTTGACTTCGGTCTTGCCCTTCACGGGCAGATCCGCAATCTTCTTGAGGAGGCAGTTGCCGCAGACGACCTCGCCACACTAGCACCATGGCGTGAGACGGCGGACTCGACGACGGGTTGCGGTGGCACGTACCACGCGGCAGTGGTGCTTGCGGCGAAAGTTGTGGAAGTTGCGCGTGCAGACGTGGCAGCGGTGGCGCTCGGCGTCCTGCACCCACTCTTCCTGGGGCTTGAGCTGGTCCATCGTGAGCACTTCGGTCGAGCGGCTGTTGACGCGCATGGCCTCGGCCTTGTTCATGCTGCCTGCCATGGCTCCTCTTCGGAAATACCGGAATTATAAAACCGCTGTCACTCTCGCCTTTGCCGACCTTTACACTGGCCTCTGTCTTTTTCTCTCAAGTGCGTTTTGGTATCTTGATGTTTGTATGTGTCTCTATTAAATGCGCCACGCACCCGATCAAGTGCGCCCATCTGGCTCCACAGCGTCGTGTTCTTTTATTGTCCAAAAGAGTCTTTTATTACACATTCGAGTGTCTTTTAATCGGCTAGTGTCTTTTATCTTTTCTCAACCGCCGAGTGTGTCTCGCTCGCCCCATCGTCGCTCGCTCTCATCGTCGTCGTCGTCGGCCAAAGTCCCAAGTATTCGAGATCCATACCTCTAGAAACAGGCTGCCACAAGCACTGCAACGTGGGGCAAGGACCACATACATACATCGACTATACGCGCCTGCTAAAAACGCGACGGTTGCGCCGAGGTGCAGGCGTAACCCAGATTGCCGTCGCGGCCAGAGAGTGGTTGCGAAGGAAGCTTCCTTGGCCGAAGTTGAAGTTGTCGGGCACGACGCACACCACTTCTTGAGGCGCTTTCGTGACTTACGCGAGCCAGCGCGCGCTCATAAGCTCCTCGATGCTGGCCTTCTCGCGCTCGCGCCAGCTCTGTTGGCTCAAAGACACGGCGCTTTGACGCGCAAGGATCGGCCATTGTCCGCTGGTCCGGCTTTTCTACGTTTCTTTTGTATGCAGTAGCCAATCCGGTGTCGCCAAAGTTGGCTTTTGCGCCAATCACACTCGAGTTTTGCCGCCCACGGTGGACGCGGGCAGCATTACGCATGGCGCTTGACCGATGGACACGACCCATATGGTCGTAGGGGCCGCCGCCGACATGGAACGCTATGGCGCGTCAAGCCAGCACCACGTGGAATCTCCATACGATACGGTTTAATGCTGTGCCTTTGCTCTGGGTTGTCCATGCGTACCCACGGCGTGGGCGCAAATCGCGCCATATTGAACATGCTGCGACATGGCGCATGTCGCAGCCACGCCGTGTTGGTCATGCGGGTCGCGGTATACGTGGTGCGGCCGCACTTGGTCTGTGTATGGCCCACTTCGCCTCCTCACTTCGCGGCCACAGCATGCCCCGCGACAACAGCCGGAACGAGATGCTCATGGCGCGGAGCATGAACGAGGTGCTCTCGGCGGACCAGATCAAGAACAACACCGAGTGGGTGCCCGACAACGAGCGGTCGCGCTGCAACCTCTGCACGCGCAACTTTGGCAGCTTTCGGCGCAAGCACCACTGCCGCATGGTAAGCCCGCCGCCAACCATCCGTCTCCATGCTAAAGCGTCCTAGTGCGGCGAAGTGGTCTGCAACGCATGCCTGTTGCGCAAGTGGGCCGAGGTCCAGCGCGGCAGCCGCATCGAGGTCAAGGTGTGCATGACGTGCATCCTCAACCACGCCAAGAACGGCCCTGCACCGGCGCAGCAGCCCAAGCCGTCCTTGGGCCACGCGGGCGTTGGGCAGTCGGCGTCGTTCCGCAACACGCGCATCATGTCGGACAAATCCGGTCGGTACTCGTCGCGTGACGACGGCGTGCCGAGCCATTTGCAGTCGCCGGTCGAGTCGTCGATTGGCAACGACGTGCACCACTACACGGAGCGCGACGTGCCGATGAGCTACGACTACCCACTCGACTTTAGCTGGGGCTACCCGTGGCCCAAGCCGCCAGAGCTCCCGAATGAAGACGAGCGACTCACCGTTCTCCGGAGCTTCAACATTTTGGACACGCCGCGCGAAGACACGTTCGAGATCATTTGCGACCTGGCGTCCAAAGCCATGAACTGCCCGATCGCGGTCGTCTCGCTCATGGACAAGGACCGGCAGTGGTTCAAGGCCAATGTCGGCTTGGCGCAGGGTGATATTCCGCGCAACGTGTCGTTCTGCGCTCACACGATCATCTCCAAGGAGACCATGGTCGTTCTCGATGCCAAGCAGGACAAGCGGTTCGCCAAGAACCCGTTGGTGACCGGCGCGGCCAGCATCCGCTTCTACGCGGGCTCCCCGATCGTGACGCCGTCCGGACATGTCATTGGCACGGTCTTTGTGTTTGACACGGAGCCGCGCGCGACGTGTGACATTACGACGCTCGAGAAGCTCTCAAATGTGGCCATGAAGCACTTGGAGGACCGGCGAAACACGCTCGCGGCCGATGACAACGCGTCGTCATTTGTCCGTGCCGTGCCGCCGCCGCAGCCGCTGCAGTCGCAGGCGTCGCTCGAGGCGAGCGCACTCGTGCCCACACCTAACCTCGCGACGCAGGACCTTGTCGTTCAGAACGCCGGGCCCGGCGATGGCCAAGTCGTGGCCGGTCCCAAGCTCGAGACGATGCTCATGGATCTACTCTGTCGGACGACCGAGACGCAGCAGCAGCTCGCGACGCAGCAGGGCGCTATGTTCCAGACATTGGGCCAGCACACGGCGCAGATCGACAAGCTTGCGGACGCGGTCAAGCGCATGGAAGCCAAGCTCGACAGCATTTAATGCGTCCTCGTCGTTGTCACACGACCTCGCTGCGTATGTGTGAAGCATGTAAAGAAGACGGCGGAGAATGGCGGCAGCGGGGCGTGTTAGTACCATATATAACTGAAAAACATGATAGCGTTCACGAATCTACTCGAGCTCGATCACAGGGGGCACGAGGAGGTGCCAGTACTCGGCGACCTCGAGCCACCACAGCGCTTCGCGGCCGACGCTCAATGGCATCACCTGGTGCGCTTGCAGCATCTCGCGCCCTGTCGGCGGGCCAATGACCATGACATACGCGCCAATGGGCAGCGAGAGCGACCGCGTGTTCTTGAGTACGTTCTCGACGTGCACCCAGATGATGCCCGTGCCGTCGTCAAGCGCAATGCGCTGCGGGCTTGCCTCGGTCGCGACGATGACACCCTAGAATAGTGTATCCAAGTGGTAGCCGCCCAGGATGGCCGCGCTCGTACCTGGACCCATGCCCGCGTGAGGTCGACGCCTCGATACGTGTACTTGCTGCGGCTCTCAGGGATCGCTTGGCAGGCCACGAGCTGGCAGGCAAAGAGCTTCCGCGTTGTGCTGACCGACAAGCCTTGCATCCTGCAATCCTGGAAATGATACACCGGATACGGTGCCAGTCTATCCGGACATTTCGATTGCTCGCGTGATCATGGAAGCTGGCGGAGGTCGACGACGAGGGTCGGTGACCGGCAGGCGTACACGACGCCGCTCTCGGGCTTGCCGCGGACGCGCCCCAGCTCGACGAGGTCGCCGACAACCAAGTGGATGGCCGACGTCACGAGCTCGCCATTGACAAACGTGCCATTCGTGCTGCCAAGGTCGTCGAGCTGTACCGCGGGCCTAGCCCAGGATGTATGAGGTGACCGCCGTCTGCATATCCACACGACGTACGCGGCCGTATCGCCATGGCCGTGGACCGAGATGCGTGCATGGCATTTGCTCACGAGGCCTTGAAAATGCTGGCTCTCGATCACAAAGTCACAGCGGGTCGAGCTGCGGCCGAGAACGTGCGAGTCGACGATGCGAATGATGCGTGGCGGCGACGGCTCGTCGAGTCGAATGAGCTGCAACACGGCGCTAAGCGGCGGTGCAGTGAGCGGGGGCAGCGTCGTGGCCGAACGCGGCGCACTGTGTGCGACAGGCGGTGGCGGTGCGGACAAGGTGTGGATAGGTGGCAAGACGCCAGTCGCCTTGACCATAGTAGACTGCAGCCGGCTTAGAAAGGCCTTCTCAGCGGCGATGCGCTCCTTGGCCTTGTAGTGCTACGTGACACATGGGAATATAACGTTATTGCTCACCGTGCAATCTCGCCGTACCTTTTGCAGATGGGCTTCGTACCATTTGCGATGCGTGAATCGCCGGCCGCCGCACTGAGGCGCAAAGCATCGATACTCGGCCGGCTCTACCTTGACCCGGGCACTTGGACGTCGTCCGAATGATATCAGCGGAGGCAAGACGCCAAGCACATTCGTTTCCGGGGCTGCTTGGCGCAGTGTCCCGAGCGATGTCTCTGGCGTGGTTGGTGGTAGAGACACCAGTAGTTGCGCCGCTTCTCGTATGGACGCGCGTCGCTCACTGTCGAGAGCGTCTGGCGGCGGTGCCATGACCACGGGTACCACCGCCGACGGCTGACGCTCTCGCGCCCGCCACGCCCGTTGGAGCCGAAGCACGTCTTTGGCGGCGACTCGTCGGCGTTGGCGCATATCATACCGCTGTATCGACATCTTCCATCTCGCGGTGGCGCTGGCTTCTTGCTTGGCGGCGCGCCATGTAGCGTACGTGGCCTGAATGAGCAGCGCGGCCGTGACGACCACTTCGTACCGGCCACTGCCAAGCTGCGACTCGAGGTCGGCGCGGGTCATTTGGAGCTGGTGGAGCAGCTGAGAGAGACGCGGACGAAGCGTGTTGACATCGTACTCGAACGCTGTCTTGTCCAAGCTCTGGACAAACAGAAAGTGGCGCTTCGAGTTGTCAATACGTGCCGAGCATTTCACGCAGACAATGCCGGTTGCCTTTTGGACACCATTGTGCGGCGAGCACGATAGCGCACGGTCGGTGGCCGCAACGTCGTCAAGGCAGAGACGCTCGGCCTCAAGCACAGTTTGCAGCCTACCGTAGCAGTACACGCATCGTCATGCTGAACAAATCTGCAGCAATACAAGACCTGGACCGAACGGCACGCCAGTGCTGCTGGATGCGCCGTAGGGGCTGCGACCACCGCAACGACCACCGGCAGCTGCGATTCTTCATAAGAGATTCTCGAGTACTTTGCCATTCATAGGACGCATGCCGACGGTCGTGCAAGGTCCGAGCGAGATGGCGGAGTAGTACGTGGTAACAGCGACGAACGTGGCGTGCGTGGATAGGACGCGTGCCGCGCCGACGCGCCTTGAGCTCGCAAACGACCTTGCGCCGAAGAAGCTGGTGCCGCAAGTCGCGGCTAATGCCATCCAGAATACGCTTGCAGCTGTCGATGGCGCTCGGCATCCGCGATGCCGTCGTCAACGATGGTACGACGACTTGAAGTGTATTTTAGGGGCTGCGTTTCAATTCGGTTCCTAGTCCATGACGTGATCCCGATGTGACAGATACAAAGAGAAGAAACTATGCTTGCAAGTATTATCTAACCCGTCTACCAAGGGTATATAAGAGATGCGTCTACGTATGAAGAACGCATGTACAACGTGTACACATGTCCTTCTCGCGGCCGGTGCGCTTGGACGTCGTTTCCAGCAAGGTGTAATTCCCTTGCCAGTTTCCACCGAGTCCAGACGACGTACTACATCGCTTTGTCCACGATGCTACTACGGGCCACAGCTGTGAGACTACCGTGGTTGGGCACAACACGGGGATACACCTTGAGTGAGTCAAGGGAAGGACAATCCGCAAAAACCTGGTTCACTCAGTTGCATCCACTGGAGCTACTTGGGCGAGACATGCACGCATATGCTTCAAAGGCCCGGAGTTGCTCGTCGGACGACGGGGTGTACGTGAGCGGTGCCACGACTTCTGCAACCCTGTCGGCCGAGTCGGGTCGGCTGCCGTTGGATCGGTTCGAGACAGGTCTCTCTTTTCGGGACGCTGGACGGACAAGAGTGATAGGCGGTGTCTCGTGCGGTCGAGCGTCCAAGTCCTTGTCCAATAGGACGCTCCAGTCGGCCACCTCGAGCGGATTTTTGCCAAACGAAAACATGGTGACGGCGGACGCGCCCAACGGCGTCTCTGGACACGACATGGCGTCGTTGTCATTGTTGTTGTTGTTGCTTTCTTCGCAGTCGTCGGCCCCGAGGAGCGCTCGGTCGACCGAGGTGTACGGAGTCGCCTCGCCCAGCGGCAGCGTCATGTGCAGCTTCTCGGCCAGGTTGGGGTCCTGGATGTACATTTGAAGTGCTTTGGGTTGCGGTAACGGCCGGCTCGCAATGTCATTCCATGTCTGCTGCTTGGGCGTTGATGGCGCGGGGCGTTGCGGCGATGTTCGCCGCGGTGCCGTCACCGGCTTGGGCGTCGGTGGCTTTTGAAAGATTTTGCGAAACCCACCCCCGACACGCTTGAGCACGGTCGTGCACGGTCGCGTCGGTGGTGGCGCGGGCGTTCTAACGATCGACACCGTCGTCGGTGCGCGGCGCTCGCTTTGTGCTGGGTAGTCCGTGTCGTCCTTGCTCGTCACCATGGTGTCGGTGTCGCATGCAACTGCTGTCGCCGGGCTGGCAACCGTCGGGGGTAGTGCTATTAACGCCGCATCCCGCTGGCCCAAGGGCTCCACCACTTGGTCGTTGCTTGCTTTGGGGGGCAATACAACGGACGCTGGGCGAGGACGCCGAGGGTATCGCTTTGCCACCAAGTGACGGCGCATGTAGGCCTGGATCCGCGTCGCCGATGCCTCCTACGCCACCGACCTTACGATCGATCGCACTCGTCAAGGTAGTCGCACCTGGCTCACGGCGACGCGGCGCGCCCGGTATGCTGCTTGTGCCGTCATGCGGCGAACATGCGCTTGGATCTGCGCAGCCGCCGCATGCAGCGCCGCGAGCTCCTTGCGCACCACGTAGCCGCGGTGCAGCGCTTGAATCCGGTTGGCGCATTCGTGTTCCCATTGCCGCTCGCTCTCATCTTTGAGCGCTTGGTGGTGCTCCCAAATGCGGAGACGGCGAAGGTACTCGCGGTGCTTGCGCTTCTCTTCGAGCTGGATGTGGGCTTCGTGCCGAGCGACGGCGTAGGCAGCGAGCTTCTCTTGCCGCCGCACCGCGTCCTGGGCGCTACGCACCGTGACTGAGCGACGCGATCGAGTCAAAGACAAGAGGCCCACCGTTGGGCATCGCGCAGTGACATGCGGGGCGCGTTCTGTAGCCGGTGGTCCTCAAACATAAAGCCGTGAAACGCCGACGTGAACGCAGTCGAGCGGGGTCGGTTGAAGACATCTTTGCTGCGATACGAGTCGATTTGAACACCGACGTTGCTGGGCGACGCCGTTAGTAGCAGCGGTAGCTTGGTCACGGGCCGGTCTGTCCGCGCAGGGTGCAGCACCATGCTAGAAAGCCCCGAGGTGAAACGTCGCCCGGAATAGACCATACCAGGGTTGGCCACGTCATTGTCGTCATCGTCGTTGATGTTTGGCCGTCGAGAACAACATTAACCAAACCATGGACTGATCCGTGGAGACGAAACAAGAGGCAGCGAATAACGTGGACGGCAGCGAAAAACATTACCGCCATGGCATGCGTTGTGGCAGCGAGGGGTCCACAGTCCACCACGCTACTTCGTCAATCCTAGAGTTTTGCGTCCGTGCGGCAGATAACACTAGTGTGCTGCTTCATGCTATCGATGTATCGCAGGCCATACCCCAGGAGAGCCTCTGCTTCAGCAAGCAATCCCCGAAAATGAGCAAAGAACTTCGAGCAGCAACGTTCACTTGTACGAGTAGCGTGGAGGCGGTGACACACCATCATGAAGCCGACTCTTTCCCGCGCTAAACCAAGCAAGAGATGTGTTGAAATATACTCGTGGTTGCGATATAGCATGGCATTTAACCCGCCGTTTTCAGTACGCCAAACTAACGCGCTACCGATCACCAGTGTCGCTGGTTGTAGGGTTAGGGCTCCCACAACTTGCTCGCGGGGGCGGCGGGAAGCCACGGGTTGGGCCCAAAGCACTGCTTGGCGTTGCATTGAAAACACTCGGGGACTGCACGCACCGTGTTCAGCGCCGGCAGCGATGCTGCGAGCTTGGAGAGCAGACAGCGCGCACACACCACGTCACCGCACTATCACGAGGCATCACCACCAGAAGCTAGAAACACCCAACGTACCACAGCGCAATGGCGCTTGGTCAGCAGAAAGCGGCCCCAGCTACTGCAGCTAGAGCAAGTGTTGCGTTCGTACAGCGACACCAACGCGGCCTCCGTCGCGAGACTGCTCTCGGGGAGAATGGCCCTGGTGTCAAAGTCCAGCGCCTTGCGCAGTACGCTGTCGCGGTCCAGCGACGTTGTGTTTGACGGAAAGTCGGGTGCGTGGAAGAGCGCACGGATCTGCGGCAGCAGCACCTTGCACTGGTCGTAGCTGCCGCCATCGACGATTGCAATCATCGCACACGTCGAGCATACCCGCACGTCGTAGGACGAATGGCCGTCGGGACGCAAAGCAAGACCCGCAAGCGTGCACTCGGAGCAGTAGTGGTCGCCGCACTACTCATATCATTCATCCACGTCCTTGGTGCATGCGTCTTAGTACCGTCGCACAGCCATAGGTTGTGCTGAGCCACGGAAACGGGCGGCGGCAGCGGGCGCAGTCAACACGCGCTGCGCGCGGCGCTGCGATTTGGTCGGGTCGAATGAAGCGTTGGTCGCTTGGCCACTTGCGCGGACCCGGGCGATGGCACTCGTCGGTGCCATCCGCACCCTGCGGCTTGTAGCGGCCAAAGAGGTGCGGGTGGTTCTCATAGCACGGCGAGCACACTTTCACTTGTGCCGAGTGCGTCTCGACCGAAGCCAACTGCGTGCAGGCTTGGCAAACCACCTCGCCACACTACGCAATAGATGATGCATCATCATCAACGCAAATGTCAAGCGATTGAAGTACCAGGGCGCAATGGAGCTTGGCGGCAAAGAATGAGAACGGGCGGAGGCACACGGTGCAGCCTTTGCAGCTGCTCGCCGACGCGTAGGCGGACGGCGATAGCAAGTCGGCGGGCTCAAGCGTGGGCAATGCCATCGTCGTCGTCTTTTGGAAAGTGCACTTTCGAAAGGCTCGTTTTTATGTGCGACATGAACAGGTGCCCGGGCTACGGACCAATGGCAACGTAGCGACCATCATTTTCTAAAAGAATGATGGTCAAAGCTAGGCACCGGCTCTGCGTGCAGCACAATGTCAAACTCTATTCAAGCCTCGAGCTCGTCGAGCTCATTGTGCAGGAGCTCGAGATCAAGACTGACGAGAAGTTAGTCGTTAACCCCATTATCGTCTTTCAGGGCGTCGAGAGCCTCGGGTCGGCCGAGAGCTTTGCGACTGTTGTCTAATATCATACTAGTACAGCTGTAGTACAGTAGGCTGAGCTGGTCGGCCCCTGGTGTAGTGGTCGAGGCGTTCCACTTAAATTCGAGCTCGAACGGATAGCGGGTTCAAATCCAGCTGCGCGCATGCAAATTCAATTGGCCGACCTCCTGCCTCTGCGCGGTGTACCCAATCGGAAGGACCGACGTGCCGTAACCCGTTCGGGATTGGCAAAGAGGGCGTCGTTACTCACTTAGCCTCGAAGGAAAAACCTCCCACAACAAACATAAAAAAACGCACCCTCGCCAAAAGACGCCCGCCTCTCAACGCACCGTGTAAACAAAACAGAAAAACCTGTAGGAAATAATATCTCAATAGACTCATTCCAACAACAGTAGGCTGAGCTTGTCAACACCCCGTTCGTGACAGGTTTAAGCTTAGAGGTTTGAGGTTCAGCTGCGGACATCAACCATGCCTGTCGTCGAAGGTGCTTCTCTCTCTGCCCTGGGTACAGCGGGATACTCCATTCCGATATTATTGTGTTGTTGATGTGGGTCGACTATTAAAATAGTGACGTAGATCTCGGCGAGAGGAGGGCGATGTTTGGACGACTGCAAATGTGATCTTTCTCTTCTTCTTCGCGGAATCAAGCTCTGAAGATGAGATGCTAACGTTATAATGAAATGACCTTGCACAACAGTTGCTGACAAGAAAAAATATTTTCTTCCTACATATACTTACGCGTTCTTCTGGTTCTCAATTTGCTTGGCCTCGAGGCGCTGGACCGCTTCTTCGAGCGCGTTGCTATCAGACGGGCGCGCGTTTATGGCTTGGAACAAATGTCCTTGCTCCGCTGCGAGCTGGTTGTGCGTATTGGTCGTGAGGATGAGCAACTCGGTTAGCTTGTCCAATTCCATGGTCGTGACGCCCGTAGAGACTAGTTTCGCGCCCGTGGGGCTTGTCTTGGTGCTTTCGGGATCTGTGGGGCGATACATTGCGACGCTTGCCTGGCGTGGCCACTTTGAATGTGTCATGCGCTTTGCCTTTTCCGAGATGGCGTGACGCGCACGCGACGAACATTTCAAATGGCGCTGAATTTTAGGATCGGGAAAGAAGAATGCACGGTGCTTGATCATCTGCGCACCGCGAATCTTCTCTTCATATCGAATTAGAAAGTGGGGCCCTCTCCGGAACTCCAACCCGAATCGACCTAAACCAGTTTCTAAACCGGTAGATTAAAAGCAGTCGACAAGAACGACACCTTCCTGGCGTATCGCGTGTGCATTTGCGAGATTAAGAGAAAAGGGTACGGGTCGGGGCGTGGAAGCACCTTTGCACTGCTCGTAGCTGGTGCCATCGACGATTGCAATTATCGCGCACGTCGAGCAAACCCTTGCACAATACTACGTAGTAATTGCCATCAAAAAAGATGATTTATCATATACTGCAGTACGCTTCAATCGAGCCTTCTTCAAGCACACAGCGCTGCGGCGCGCTCGCGTCGATCACTGGAAAGCGATGTCGTTGCTTCGCTGCGATTTTTTGTTGCGCAATGGTCGTGCGACGCAGATATTCCACGAGGCTGACTTCCATGGTTCTCCCGCTCTCCGTGACTAGACCCATGTCCACGAGGTTTGTCTTGGTGCTTTGGGAATCCGTGGGGTGCTTCATTTCAACCTGCGCTAGATGGGGCTACTTTGAATGTGTCTTGCGGTTTCGAGATTGCGTGCGTCCCACGCAACAAATGGCACTGAATTTAGGATTTGGAGAAAATACATGCTACGGTGCAGCTAACGGTGCTTACCTGCACACCGAGAGCCGCGAACCTTCTCTTCGTGTCGCGTGTGCATTTGCGAGATCAAGAGAACATCGGGTGCAGGGTGGTGGACTTTGGTCGCAATGATTGATTGTCATGTGGCCAAAAAGAGTGCATGATATGGTTTCGGAGAAGCCACCATTAACTGCTAATTTTTAGTCCGAAGAGGACTAGTACAGACAGACGCTACGCGTGTTGTGCTTTTTTCGCCATCCCGCGGGTTCGGGGCCGTCGATAATGGTGCAGGTAATTATATTCATTTTTCACAATTTTATTTTCGACCGGTTCACTGGTACAAGGATGGGATGCGAATTGCCATGCATATTGATGTCATTTTGACCCCACCGAAGTCGTTTCTGGAGAAAACTGCACTTAAAGTTACAAATTTGCTTCTCCAGCGTTTCCCTCCTGCGCCTTTAGTTTGGCCTCCATGCGCTTGACCATTTCATCCAGGTTCTCAATGTAGTGGCTTCCACCACTGATTCTGGTAAAACCCGCTGATGTGGACTCTTCCGGGGTAGTCGTTGTGCGGAGGTGATAACCCGAAATCGTCGTTGCCCGGGGTGCAGCGCGGGCTCTCACGCCGCGACGCTCAGCAAGGCTCTGGGATCGTGCCATCGCTGCACTTGTACACTCGGGAATCGGCGGCAGCGGTGCCTTCGCGGTGGTATACACGTCGCTCATCGTCACCATCTCGTGGACCTCGATTGCCTCGGTCGTTTGAAACACAGGCGCTTGCTCCGCCGTAGCCTGCGGCTTAGCGATGGCCACGAGCAGGTCCATGAGCTTTGCTTGCATCGTGCGTGTTGTCGCCATCCGCTGCGACGTGGTCATCGTCTACGGCGCTCTGCGACTTGCCACCAACCGCTGTCATCGTGGTTGCAGGCGGGAACATCCGCGGCGCCTCGATCGGTGTCTCGGGATTCATACTCGCTGGAATGATGCGCGGAGCGTGGGGCAATTGTAGTACTGCGCTCGAAGATCGTTGGGTTCTTTACGAGTAGCCTTTGTCTGTGCCTTTGCGGCTTGGGCGTTTACGCGCCGAGCGTCACACTCTGTACAACCAGTGGTACCACCAAGGCGCTGAATTGTAGTTTCTGCCTTGTCCACCAGGCAGTGTTTCTCACGTCACTTACTGCGCTCTCCCGGGCGCTTTTCTCGTCGTAACGGCAACGAGGCATAGTTGTCACTGCCACATAACGCCGATTGTGGTCAGCGAAGGCGGCGTTGATGCGACGCCTACTTTTGATGGCTCAGTCGAGTGTCGGCGACACCTTGAAGGACAATACCTTAACTATAGCTTCCCTCATTCGTACCTTGTCGAAATACGTTATGTAGCCTCTATGAAACCGAAACTTGTAGGCAAAAATATACGTTAATGTCCTCGACAACACTCGCTTAGTCACTCTGCTTGTGCGCATTTAGCTTGGCCTCGATGCGTTTAACCGCTTCCGCGAGCCTCTCAATCTGCAATTTGTCGAGTTGTACGATTGGAAGTAGGGGAGTTTCAATCGGGCGGCTGAGAAGCTCCCGGAGCATCGCGTCCTTGGTGTCCTCCTGCGTCACTGGGGCTCGATCCTCGGCACACTGGAGGGGAGCGCGTGCAGTCTTGGGAATCGGCAGCGGGGTTGCGTTCTCTGTACGATCGACATCGCTCTTCATTTCCATCTCGCAGATACGTGGCAACTTGACAACTATGCAAGCGACCGAATGTTTCCCGTTTTTGTTGATTATCAAAAGACGTGAATCGAGACATGTGTGGCAAAGTAAGTAGCTTCCTTTTGATTGGCTGGATTATGGGAAGAAACGTAGGGAATGGCGCTTGCATTTGTGCTTCTGCGGCGCGCGTCGCCTTGGTTGGCTTGCAAGGGCAACCTAAACATGCCATATATAGCCACATATACTGTCATAATATGGCATACGCCATTATTAGCAAAATGGTCAACTGCTCGCGCTGTATTCGTCGCACGCCGACGGAAAGCAGCATCTTGTGCCCTCCAAAGGAATTGCAATCACCAGGCCAAGTGGCGGCGATTTCATTTCGGACCGCAAGGTGGCCGACTGAGCATGCTGCGCATCGGAGGTGGCGCCATGGCTCGAAGTACACGACATGCTATTGGTTGAAATAAATGAAGTATTGACCAATCATCTTGCGGTCCCGCCTAAAGCACGATCTTGGGCTGTGCACATATTGGCAAGGAACATCACGATGCTCGATGGCGTCCGGTACAAAATGTAGATCCACTTGTGACGTCCATGAGCTAGCTCGAGCGACACGGCGTGTCCCGGTTGAACTCATGTTGCCCATACCAGTACCCAATTCGGCAAAAAACAGTGGTCTGTGATATGGCTATCCCAAGGATTTCCATGCTGGGAGCCTCACGCAGTACCAAAAGCACCCAAAATTCCAGAGCCATTTTAGTTTCCATCATCTTCGAAGGTGAGGGATGTCTCGTTGCTGTTGGCGCCTCTTTTCTTCTGCCCCAATGCCCTGGTGCTTCCTTTTTGGTCGGCACTGGCAAGTTGAAGCCACCGCAATATACCGGTCGGTCGCCTGTGGCACTGGCAGGAATCACACAACTTGGCACATGCCACGATTGCATGCCACCGTGAGTCGACACAACGTGGCATGCGCCATGTTGAAGTGACACAATGCAAGGTATTTCCAGATTTGATGAACTTTGCATCGGCGCCCAAACGTATTGCCAAGCTGCGCGACGCGTCCTTCCTCACCATCGTGGACGCTACGAAGGCGACGACGACCGTGCGCATGCTCTTTTCCTCAATACGCAATGCGCCTCAGTCGTATGGTGATGGCGAGGTCACAACGGCAACAACTCGCAGGAGCGTACCGCTGGACCGCGGGATCACGGTCTGGCGAGCGGTCATCAAGTTCGTTGAGGATGTCCTTCTCGACACGCCATGCCATCTCGACGTTGAGGCGCCCTGGCAATGAAGTCATAGCGCATAGCGCCCGCCAAGGGTCATCGCCGAGCGCGTTGAGCGACTCGGCAAACGATGACACCACAGCCAAGTGCCGGACGTTGACGATAAAGGTCGATCGACGTTTTTGCCGACAGCTTTATTCGCATGGCCTCGTCTTGTAGTCGATACAGAGACCTTGTGGAAGCATGCCGATCGGTCCACCGTCCGAGTCCACCCGGTTGTGGCGCGCGGCCCGCATCCGGATATGCAATATGTATCCGGAAGGATCCGGTGGATCGGCTCCATTTTTAGTTATGGGTCGGGAGACGTTGCTCGTGAAGAAGCTGTCGGCGACCGCGGTGCTGCCGGCGCGCGGGTCGGCGCTGGCTGCTGGCTTCGACCTCGCTAGCGCCTACGAGTGCGTAATTCCGGCGCATGGCAAGGCGCTCGTCAAGACGGACATTGCGATCGCGATCCCGTCGGGTTGCTACGCCCGCGTCGCACCGCGCTCGGGCCTCTCGTGGAAGAACCACCTCGACGTCGGCGCCGGCGTCATTGACGAAGACTACCGCGGCAACGTCGGCGTCGTCCTCTTCAACCACGCGAACGAAGATTTCCACGTCAAGGCGGGCGACCGCATCGCGCAGCTCATCCTCGAGCGCATTGTCGCGCAAGCTGACGTGCAGGAAGTCGACGAGCTCTCCGACACTGCGCGTGGTGAAGGCGGATTTGGGTCAACCGGCGTCGCCAAGCGCGCCAAGGTTGAGCATGCGGCGACGACTTCGGCCTCGGTCGCCGGCGTCGACGCGATTGTCGGTGCCATTGCGGCTATTGAAGCTGACTTGACCGACGCCCAGCGCAAGCGCCTCAAGGAGCTCGTGGTCGCCGCCGATGATCGCCGCTTTGCACTCTTGGAGAAGGCAAGCGCGCAGTACATTGCGACGACGGAGAAGGCTGCATTCTTGGAGTGGGTCCATGCCCTACTTCAGTAACCGCCTGTCTTTCATACATTATGCATCTCGACAATATCGACATCCTCAACGCGCAGCAGCGTCACAAGTAGCTCGCAGCACTAAATAGGCTAGGTCGGTTATCAGTAAATAGGCTTGGTCTGTTATCCCACAGCAGGAAGACGGCAGGATATAGCGAAGCAAAAGCAACGACTTGTGCAAGCTTCGCGAACTCAAAAACGTCTTTGCTCCCACACATAGCCTTATTCCATATTCAACCATATGCGCTTCAGTGCCATTTCTAGTGCAAGTAACGGTCAAGAAGCATCTTATTCGCCAGCTCTCAACGTCACTTTGCACCACTGCAGAGAAGCCACCATCCCATTCATCCAAAAATTCAAGATTCAATTCACAAAATACAAGATTCACACATCCACGTCCCATCGTCGTCCGATGCGATTACATCTTGGGCTTCTCGAGGTCGCGCTCGTCTTCACCAACGACCGGCTCGTCGAGGGTCTCGTCGTGATCAAACTCTTGGCCGCGCTTCTCAGGCCCAAGGAGCGTCAGCAGCGCCAGCACCGCAAGCACGATGGCCAGCAACGCTGCAATCACCTTGGCGTAGTCGTAGCGCTCGACGCCGGCCTGTGTCGGCGGCAGCGGGTACACTTCGCTGAGCGACGCCTCGATGGTCGCCGCGGTCGACGAGATGAGATTGCCGAGCTGATACGAGGTGCCGACGATGAACGTCGAGTAGGACGGCGGCGCGAGCTCCATGAGGTGGATCGGGATGACGCCCCACGCCCCCTGGACGAAGAACTGCATGAAGAAGGCGGCGGCGGTGATGCTATGGCTTCTCGTAAAGCAGTATGGGTACAGAACGCAGGCCGCACCGACGACGCACGCGAGGATGCTAAAGCGGCGGCCAAACACTTGCGAGTAGTAGCCCATGAAGGTGCCACCCGAGATCGCACCGAGGTTGGCGACCACCTGCGTCACCGTGACTTCATTCGCGCTGAACGAGAGCGTGTTCTTGAGCATCGTCGGGTACAGGTCTTGCGAGCCGTGCGAGAGAAAGTTCATGCCGGCCATGAGCAAGACGAGGTAGCTGAGAAGGACCCACTGGCGCTGCAGCACGAGCTTGCCTTCCGAGACAAACGTCGACGAGGCTGCGTCCGCGCGACGGAGGTGGCGCTCCGTGAACGCCTTGGTCTCCGGCAGCATCATGCGGAAGAGAATGATGAGGACCGGCGGACACGCGCCAAACCAAAAGAGCGGCCGCCACCCGTGGCTCGTTGTGTTGACAAACACTCGGGCAAAGACGACCGCGAGAAGGTACCCGAATGCGTAGCCTTGTTGGAGGATACCAGAGATGAGACCGCGGGCCGGCGCCGGGGCGTCTTCGAGAGCTGTGGCCGCGGCGTTGCCCCACATCCCGCCCATGGCAATACCGTACAGCGCGCGCACCCACATAAACTGCGTGAACGTGTTGCAAAAGCCCGTCGCGAGCTCGAGCACGATGAAGAGAATGTTGTTGACAACAAACGGCCACTTGCGGCCGTACCGATCAGCGGCGAGCCCAAAGATGATGGACCCGATCGAGCGCAGCATGAGTGTGATCGAGATCCCCCACGTAATGTCCGTGTTGCTCTTGCCAAACTCCTTGGCGAGGTCCGAGAGCGTCATCGAGACGGTGAAGAAATCAAACGCGTCCCACGTCCAGGCCGCAAAACCGACGCCAAAGTTGAGCCACTGGAGCCGGTCGAGCGTCTTGAGGAGCGCAATGGGGTTGGCGACGGGGGCCATGGGCGGCTTGAGCGACGAGACGCGCGTGCCGAGGTACTCTTTGGTTGTCATCTTGGGCTGCGTGGCCTTGAGAGGCACGACATCCGGGCTGTTTGTTGGTGTCTGGATCACCGCATAGTCGTTCTTGGGCGTCGATGCCATGGACGAAGCAAAAGGAAAAGTGAGGAAATAGAGAAGGGTGGTTTTGGAGAAATTGTGGCGGAGGCTTGCGCTTGCACCACCGTTGGTCGAAGCAAAGACAGGCTTGATGTGCTGGAACTGGATCTGTGTGACCTTGATCGGTCGGACATGTGATAATTGTACGGCGTTTCCATGATACTACCAGCTTCAAGGTGGCACCTAATTGAAGTTCCGAGCGGCTGCTACGTCCCTTCCCCATCGAAAGCGTTATCGCACACGAGAAGCCTGTACATACTTGAAGGTACACACGTATAGTATAGTGCTGGAGTCGACGCGCTGTCGCCTGTCCGGACGAGGCCCGGCAAGGCAGAGCATGTGGTGCACGGCGAGCGATGCGAGAGAGCGAGAGATATGGGATTAATCTTAATCTTGGGTACTGAGTTCGATCAAGACCACGTAGCGTGTGGGCACTACAGGTCGAACAGGACAAGGGACGAACTTCGAGGTTGGAGCAACTATCTACGTAGTCTGTGCCGGGACGTCGTCGCGATCTCAGCAGATGATGCGCGCCTCGTCGTGCAACCCTTTCCCCCTCCGTCATAAAAATTGAACTCGCAAACGTTCTGTGGGCTTCCGTGTCGCTGTCTTTGGGACGCGACAGTTGGTCACTGGTGTCCCTGCAAGCTATAGCTACTACTGCGGGGTCTTTGGGCAGAATCTCGCAAAGATGATCTGTGAAGCGACGAAGACAAGAAGCTAGTAGCAACGCCACCCACAGGTGATCCCCATCCGATTGGGTGATGGGTCAGTCCCACCCATCACAATTGACATCGGCCAGAACCAGATGTTCCTGCGGTGCATTCCAGCCGTACACGCTGCCACGCCCTTTTTTGTAGGCGGCGACGGTCGACCATGCATGCCGGCGATGATGCACCCGTTTGGTGATATCCAGAGTACTGGCGATGTGCACCAATTTCATTTCGTCACCCAAACACTGACCCTTCGACGCGTCTGTCCGACTTTCCTACTGCCTCTACCGCCTTGGTCGGGTCACTTGCCTTGTCGGATCTGATTTGGAACAGCCTCTTTGGGGTGTAGCAGTCTACTAAGCTTCGTACACGTTAACGTACACGCCTTTGCGGCGACGGCCAAGGACCCTTGATGACGAAGAGGGTGCCGGCTGCGTCGCACATTCGTGATCGGAGTGGCCGCATCTGGTCCGTCGGAGCTCGGCATCCGTTCACATCACCGGGCGATGCGCCGTAGCTACTACAAAACGTTCACGGTGGCTACTGTGGTCCAAGGAGCTTTGCCCCGCG